CGTGCTTACACAGACCGTCCTGGTGACACAGCTGTGCTTACGCAGACCGTCAGGTGACACAGCCGTGCTTACACAGACCGTCCTGGTGACACAGCCGTGCTTACGCAGACCGTCAGGTGACACAGCCGTGCCTATGCTGTCCTGTGGAGGATGAACTTGGGCGGGCGGGTACCTGCTTACTCCTCTCCAGCCATGTCAAGCTGGGCATTGGCCTGGGCACACCTGTGGGGCCCTGAGTTCACTGCCCAGCACCTGTGTCCTGCAGCACCGGCATCGGCGGCCTTGGTGCTGGACAGCTGTCATCCCAGCACGGCCGAGAGGGCACAATGCTGTGTCCACTGAACCTTGACCCCTCCCCCAGCCATTCCTCGTGCCTCACAGAGGGGCACAGGACTCCGAGGATCTGTGCCACCAGGTCCAGGGACCACCAGCCCTCTGTGACTGGTGCCACGCAAATGCAGGGGTGACTGTCTCCTGAGAGAGAGACTCTAGAGAGCAGGACACTGCCCCCCACATCGTGTTCCCTCACGGCCGAGGGCTCCCACAGGCGTGCTGCCCCTGCATAGTGTGTCCCGAGTGTGTGGTCTGGTCACCAGCACCGAGCTGGCTTCCCTGTGCTCCTGTCCCCTTGTCTGGGCACGAAGCATGCAGCAAGGATATAGGAGATAGGATGCTGGTCTGGTTTGTCCCCACTGCTGCTGAAGGCCATGTGAGGGACACAGCAGGACAGTGCGCACCTGCTGACCGCCCTGACTTACCTGTGCTTCCAGGCCTGACCGTGGCGGAGTGCGACCAGACCTACAGTGGGTTCTTTGACATCCTCAGAGGCGGCACCGAACGGCTTTTCATCAACCTCAAGGACACCTCCTCCAAGGTCATTCAGTCTGTGGCAAAGTAAGTGTGTGACCGGGGCCAGGAGGCTGAGAGACGCAGCCTCACCACAGCCCCAGATGGAGGCCACAGCAGGAGGCTGGGTGCTGCACGTACAGCCCGACATGCGGGCTTCCCACTTGTCCAGCCCCGAGCAGGGCGCTCGGCACGGAGCAGAGGTGCTCGGCGTGGTTGGAGCCGTGCACCTGCAGTGGGGCCCCTGTCCCCGACCCTCAAGGGGAGCAGTGCTTTCAGAGCGTCCTAGCGGCCTGCGAGGCCCTTGCCCTTGACCACGTGCCCCGCGTGCCTGGGTATTTCTGGAGAGGAGCCTAGAGCTCTCTGGTCTTGTTTGGTGACCCTGTGTTCTGCTCCATGTGACCTGGCATAGACACACGACGGGGGAGGCCGCTGCCCTCTGTCACCGAGGAGTGGACCCCATACCTGTCTGTCATGGAGGTGCAGCCGGAGCCCAGTGTGCCCAGTCTCCACAGCCCTGCCGTGCTCCGGGCTCGGCCTGCCCGTGGGCACCTCCCAGCCCGTTTTGCAGGATGGGCCTGTCCTGGGTCAGCTGTTTCCTCCTGTGTCGGCCTCTTCAGTGTGCTGGGACGTAGCTCAGGACTCACTGTTGAAGGTTGTCTGCCCAGCTGACCATGACCCAGTTGAGCCATCGTGATCCATTGTGGGCAATGTGGACCACCGTGTGCCAGTGCGGGCCCGTAGTGCCCAGCAGGCACCAGTGTGGGCCGGCGTGTGCCCACCTGGGCTATGTGTGTGCACACTGCGATTCATTATGTGGATGGGCACTGCCGTGTGTACCCACAGTGGCCAGTGGGCAGCAGCGTGACCCACTGTGGGTGTGGGTCAGTGTGCTGGCACATGCCCGTGGTGGACAGCGGGCACCCGGGTGTGCCGACGAGCACAGTAGGAACCAGTGTCTTCCGGTGTGAAGCGGCGGGTGCAGTGTACTCTGGTATACCCCGTGGGCTCCCCTGAGCGCCCGTGTCTGCAGTGGGAGTGGGTGAGTGGCACCCAGGTGATGCCAGCCTGCAGGAAGCTGACAGCCTTGGGTTTCGCTCGGGGCCCCTCTGAGGTGGGTGGGGGTGGAGTGGGCCCATCAGACGTGGACCCCCGATGGCTCTGAGCCGTGGGCCGTGGGCGCCGTGAGCTCACCGTGGACAGTCCCTACTTGTGCTCTTTGCCTGCTGTGTGGGCTTGTTTTCATTTTTTTTTTTTAATTTATTTTATTAGCTTTAATGAACATTTACAGAGATTTTGGGTTTTCATTCATTCATTGTTGCACTGTTTTCTCTACGCTCCTCCCCAGTTCGTTCTTCTTCTCCCCCCCCCCGAATGTCTGTTTTAATTGTCCAATTGCCACAGTGCTTTTCGAAGCCAGTTCTGATTAATCTCCTTTGTCAGTGTGTCCTTTGCCATTCCCTATCTCTCCTCCCTGAGAGAGACTTTACCCTGATTCATAAGGAAAAGGGGATGGCGTATTCTCTTAGCTACTTCCTGCTGAAAAGGGATGCTGTGGGTTTCAGGGTGAAGATCTTCTCTCACTACTCTAAAGGGCCCCTTTGGCAGTAGGAAACACATAGACTATCATGGAGATTGATTTTGGAATTTAGATGCACTGTTATCAGTTGTGCTTAGCCGTACATGTTTATATCCTTGAAGATGTATTATGGAAGTGTTGCAGCCTAGAAGATACAAATTTAACTAACAAGTTAAAAGTACATGAGTCAAAAATTAAAAAGCAATAATATTACGAGTAGAGGTTCTAATAGTGACACAAATCAAGTTACAGAGGGAAGGTGGTTCTTACAATAAAAGGCCTATAGACTAGCACTTTGTCTATTATAGTGTAGAGGTTAGGAACCACAAGATGTAGAGGCTCAGCTATGTCATTTATGGTTCTTAAGTCCTGGAGCAAATTCCATCTACCACTGGGTTGTTTTACAACTTGGAAGTTCACATGCAAGGTAGAGGTGAAGTAAGGAACTGCGTATGAGGTTTTCCGTCCATTCCAACAACTAAGAAATAGTGAGAAGAGTTGGGTTAGGGTTAGGGTTAGGTTAGGGTTAGTTGTTTTCATTGTGTTTTCTTTTGTGCAATGTTTGTCATTTTCTGTCCTCACCTGCTCACTGCCCCAGGTAAGAGTGAGTGAGTGAGTGAGAGAGAGAGAGAGAGAGAGAGAGTGAGTGTGTGTGTGTATGTGAGAGAGAGAGAGAGAGCATGAGAGTGAGAGAGAACGCACGCATGTTGTGCTACTTGCCTGACTTTGTAGAATTTTGTGTGTTGGGTTTCCGCTGAAGCGTGGCCAAGGCTAGCTGGACTTGGCACCATGTGTAGCACCTCTGTGAGCAGGGTTGGGGGCTCGCCTGGGCTCCCCAGTCCCAGGGATGTTGTCACTGGTTTCTACCGTCCGGCTCCATGGCTTCCTGTCTTCGAGGATGGCCGTGTGCAGGGAGCTGTGCTGGGCGTGTGGCTCGTGGCTGAGGACAGAGCAGAGGAGAGTGGCCTCCTGGGTGGCGTCTCACCTTCTAACTGAACGGCTGCTTCTCTGTAATGACAACGCCCTGACTCACATAGCTTGTCTGGTTTGGGGTGATGGCTCCTGCTGGGGTTCTCCCACCAGAGCACCCCACATGGGGTGGCAGTGACTGTGGCTCTTAGCACAGGGCTGACCTCACAGTGACCACCCCAGGCCATTGCTTGGGGCGTGACTGAGGACAGACCTTCCCGAGGGTGCACCGGGACAATACGGTCATTAGGAGTAAGTCTTGAGAAATTTGAGATTTGCTGAGGAAGAGGAAGGGGGTGGGGGGGGTAGGTTCCTCTTTCAGTGATTTCCTAAGAGAACTCGTGGGCACGGTGGATGTCAGATGACTGTAATTTATCACAATAAGAAGAGCAAGGGCGGTGTGGGGACACTGAGTCCGACCTCTTCTGACTCCACGGACGGCCCCCAGGAACAGTGTCCACAACACAGAACTGATTCCCGCGAGAACAGAAATGTCCCAGGAACAGTGTCCACGACGCAGAACTGATTCCTGCGAGAACAGAAATGTCCCAGGAACAGTGTCCACGACGCAGAACTGATTCCTGCGAGAACAGAAATGTCCCAGGAACAGTGTCCACAACACAAAACTGATTCCTGCGAGAACAGAAATGTCCCACACGTTCCTGTTCTACTTACTGGATCCGAAATTCATTGCAGTGACCACACAGATGTCCCAGAGCCACGCAGGCGTCCCAGAGCCACGCAGGCGTCCCAGAGCCACGCAGGCGTCCCAGAGCCACGCAGGCGTCCCAGAGCCACGCAGTCATGGGCTCTTCTGGGGAAGTTAACAAGCTGTAGTTCAGTTAACAGCAAGATACAGACCCTCAGTTCAGAGAGCTTCTCAGATACCGTCTCGAACAGGCTGCAGGGAGCTCTGGTGGCTTAGTGGTAAGGAGCTGTGCTGCCAACCCAAAGGCACAGGGTTCAGATCCACCAGCTGCTCTGTGGAGAATGGGCAAGCTCTTCCTGTGCAGTTACTGCCTCTGAAAGTGCTAGAGGGCCAGCAGCAAGATTCAGTCCCCCCGTTCAGAGAGCGCCTCAAATAGAATCCCCAACAGTCCACAGTGCGGTGCAGTCCCTCAGTTCACAGAGCTGCTCCACTGACGGTGAATACCGGCCCCGGCACAGGAGTCTCTGGCCCCAAAGGACACACACTGCATCCTCTGCTTCCTGCTCTGCTTCTGGTGATGAGTCCCGACCTTCGGCCACTGAATCTCCTAATTATGACCATGAGGCTGGCGAGTCCTCCGTGGATAGACCAGCACGCCCCGTTTGCGTGTGGAAGAGATGGCCCACGCAGTTCTTGGTAGTAGGCGGGCCACGAAGTTGCGGGGCAGGAAGGGTGAGGCAGGTACGTCAGATTAAAGACCGTGTTCTAGGAAAGCCATGCTTCTGGCCGCAGCCCCACCGTACCAGGCCACACCCCGCCCTGTCCACGAGGACTTGTGGGGACTCCCTGCTGGGTCTGAGGCTGTAAATGTTTACACACAGAGCAGATGATGGATTCAAACTCTCAACCCTTCACTTAGCAGCCCAACACATATGGCACTCTACTTCCAGAACAACATGAATACAGGGAAAAGTATGTGGGACCAAGTCCAGGCAGGACAGCCAGATACGCGCATCCAGGATGGAAGCTGCTGGGGCCCAGGCGCTCAGATGCAGCCCAGGGCCCACGCTGCAGGCCGGCATTCGGAGGACGGCCTCAGTGTGAGGTGTGGACACAGTTGCCCAGGCTCTCAGACGCAGCCCAGGGCCCACGCTGCAGGCCAGCATTCGGAGGACGGCTTCACTGTGTTGGGTGGATTCAGCTGTGCCAGGGTTTAGGGTGAAGCAGACCCCAGGTCACTAGAATGTCTGTCTCCAAGGTGAAGGGGCAGTGAGCTCCCAGCCCCTTCTCCACAGGAAAGAGGCCATCTCCTCGATGACATGGGTCTGGGGCAGGACTGGGCACAGGAGCTGAGGACTTCCCATCGTGTGTGAAAGCACAGGTGCTACCAGAGATGATCTGGAACTTTGCAGGGACACACAAACCAGCCCAGGGGCTCCTACCAGCCAGAGGGGGCAGTGGCAGCATCCGGGACGGGGGATTTGAGGGGGTGGCAGCATTCAGAAGCATGAGATACCACTGTTTACTGTGCTGTCCCCCAGGCACACAGTCGGTGCCCATTGTTTGCGTGAGGAAGTGGCTGAGGGGGCACCTGCTGAAGTGTCTGTGTTCTCTCCGTGATGGACACTGCTAAGTGCCTGATACCATCCCCAGGTCCCAGCACGGTCCCCTGGCCGTGGTGTGGACCCCTGGGTCCCAGCACTGCCCCCTGGCCACGGTGTGTGGACCCCTGGGTCCCAGCACGGTCCCGTGGCCACGGTGTGTGGACCTCTGGGTCCCAGCACGGTCCCCTGCCCACGGTATGGACCCCTGGGTCCCAGCACGGTCCCCTGGCCACGGTGGGGACCCCTAGGTCCCAGCACTGTCCCCTGGCCGTGGTGGGGACCCCTTTGTCCCAGCACTGCCCCCTGGCCATGGTGTGTGGACCCCTGGGTCCCAGCACGGTCCCCTGGCCGCGGTGGGGACCCCTAGGTCCCAGCACTGTCCCCTGGCCGCGGTGGGGACCCCTGGGTCCCAGCACTGTCTCCTGGCCACGGTATGGACCCCTGGGTCCCAGCACTGCCCCCTGGCCACGGTGTGTGGACCCCTGGGCTCCAGCACAGTCCCCTGGCCACGGTGTGGACCCCTAGGTCCCAGCACTGTTCCCTGGCCAGAGTGCGGACCCCCCTGGGTCCCAGCATGGTCCTCTGGCCGTGGCGCAGACCTCCCGGGTCCGAGCACGGTCCTCTGGCCATGGTGCAGACCCCCACATCCCAGCACGGTCCCCTGGCCCGGGTGCGTACCCCCCTGGGTCCCAGCACGGTCCCCTGGCTGTGCTGTGGTTGTATGCCCAAGGCCCTCCCTTCCCTGGCCCGTCACTGGCCCTGTGAACACCATCCGGTGTCCCTCAGTGTCTGCCCCCCACCCCCGGAGAAGAGCCTTGCTCACCCTCAGGACATGATAGGCCTCGGCCACCTGGCCACGGGGCTCGCTGGGGTCAGAGCAGGTTCTGATATGGTCACAGGCTTGTGCTGGGCGTTTTCTGGGTCTGATGGGGCTGTGGGGGCGGTCGCCCTCACAATGCGGCCTCTGGTGCCAGCTCAGGTGTGCACTTCTGTCCTTGGGTGCTGTGTTCTGATTTTCCTGGCGGGTGGAGTACACAGCAGTTGTGACTGCGGGCCGTCACAGTCCCCGTCTTGGGTAACGTGCTTGACTTTCCTGGGCGGACAGGGTGTGGAGCAGTACTGACTGTTGGGTCGTCACTGCCCTCGTGTCTCACATCACCTGTCCTGACTTTCCTGGGGGGACAGGGTGTGCAGTAGTACTGACTGTTGGGTCGTCACTGTTGAGCCCCTCGTGTCTCATCACCTGTCCTGACTTTCCTGGGGGGACAGGATAGAGGGCTGCACGGTTTGTAAGCTTTTGCTCACCTCTGACGGAGGTGTGAGTTCTGCACGGGCACACATCCACGCACACACGTTCAGACACATGCACGCACACATGCGTGTCCCTCCTTCGTGGTGATGCAGCCTCGGCGGGGAGCCCCTGGCCTGGGCTGGTGTTTGCTCCTGCAGCTGGTGAGGTCTCCTGTGTGACACGTGCTTTCTCGTTGCAGCTATGCGAAGGGAGACCTGGACATATCCTACATCACCTCCAGGATCGCTGGTACGTGCGCTGGCCTCACCTCACGCTTCTGAGTCTCCTCACCTGGGGACGTGCTGTGAGACTGTTGGCTTCCGGGTGTCCCCCAGGGGTCAGCGGGGGGCTGGGCTGTGGCTGGCAAAGGACAGTGGACTTAGCCTGAGTTGCATCTTGAAATCCCCCTGAGGTCCTGTGGGCGTCTAGAGGTCCCCTGAGAATCAGGGGGGGATCTATGCAGCTCTGTGAGCATAGGGGAGGGGTCCTGTGGGGTTGGTCACATGGGTACGGCAGAGTCCTGTGAATGTACCGGGGTCCTCTGAGCTTTTGGGGGGTCCTGGGAGTCCTGTGCACTCTTGGGGAGTCCTGGGGGCTTTAGGAGTACTGAGGAGTCTGAGAGTCCCATGAAGCCCTGTGAACTCTTGGAGGGTCCTGTGGGCTCCTTTTAACTCTCAGGGGATTCTAGGAGACATGGGGTCCTGTGAGCTCTGGGGGGTTCTGGGAGTGATTTGGTCTTTTGGACTCTGAGGGATGGGGTCCTGTGAGCTCTTGGGGTGATGTGGGCCTGTGAGCTTTAGGAGGGTTCTGAGAATGCATGGGGTCCTGTGAGCGTTAGGGAGATTCTGGGAGTGATGGGGTCTGGTGAGCTTTTGAGGGGTTCTGGGAGTGAATGGGTCTCTGAGCTCTTTGAGTGATGGGGTCCTGTGAGCTCTTGGGGGGTTCTGGGAGTGATTTGGTCTTGTGAACTCCGAGTGATGGGGTCCTGTGAGCTCTTGGGGTGATGTGGGCCTGTGAGCTTTAGGAGGGTTCTGAGAATGCATGGGGTCCTGTGAGCTTTTGAGGGGTTCTGGGAGTGAATGGGTCTCTGAGCTCTATGAGTGATGGGGTCCTGTGAGCTCTCGGGGGTTCTGGGAGTGAATGGGGCCTGTGAGAGCCCAGGAGCCACATGGGATCCCATGAGGGGTGTTAACTTTCAGGGGTTCTGCGAGTGCTCGGGTTCCTTGGATCTTACTGCCAGAGGCTCTGTGCTGTGAGACACCCTGGCTGTGTGGGTCTCCCTGGAGCCCACCCGGCTCCCCTCCTGGTCTCACTTTCTGGGGCTCCGGGGTTTCGAGGGGCAGTGCAGTTAGTGCACGGTGCGGCCTGCATCTCGGACAGCAGGTGTCCCGAGGGCGTGCGTGTCCACTGTGCTGGGAAGTGCGGACTGAGCGTGTGGATGCCGCACGTGCAGCTCTGAGCTGGGGTGCTGTGTGACCCCCCCCTTTTCTGGGTATCCACTCTCTGGACAATGTTTCTAAACAGCCCCTGCAGGTGTCCCCTAGGGCTGAGGGCCAGCGCCTGAGTGTGGACCCTGGTGGGCAGAGCTCCATGGTGTGGGGCTCAGGACAGTGAACAGGTCCAGGATGAGGGGACCCTGACAGTGGTCACCACAAGGAGGCCTAGGGACAGTGGGCAGGTCCAGCAGGAGGAGGCCTCGGCATAGTGGGCAGGTCTGTCACGAGGGTGGCCCTGACAGTGGTCACCATGAGGAGGTCTGGGGACAGTGGGCAGGTCCAGGACGAGGATGACCCTGGCAGTGGTCATCACATGGAGGACTGGCGACAATGCCAGGTCCCGCACGAGGAGGCTGACCTGCCTGTGTTTGCAGTGATGTCGTTCCCGGCGGAGGGCGTGGAGTCGGCCATTAAAAACAACATCGAGGACGTGCGGCTGTTCCTGGACGCGAAGCACGCAGGGCACTACGCCGTCTACAACCTGTGCCCCCGCACCTACCGGGCCTCCAGGTTCCACAACCGCGTGAGTGGGCAGCAGAGGAGGGGAGACCCCAAGGTGCTGCAGATGCAGGGACATCGGGGGGGTGCAGGGTTTTGGGGTGAGGGGAGAGCCAGGAAACTGCCTGAGGGGCTTGATGACAGCACTTTGGGCAGACCAGGGGACATGGTGAGAGGACTTTGGACAGAGCTCAGGACAGGGGGGACACGGTGACAGCACCTTGCACAGAACCCAGGACCCTGAAGGGGACATGATGACAGCACCTCGGGCAGACTGAGGGACGTTGGCGGGCTGGTGGAGGCTCTCCTGTACTGACTCTTCCAGCTAAGCAGGGCGGGGGACCCAAAGGAGTCCCCTGTGGGCATTGCATGGCTGCGTGTGGACCCGGGGAGCAGTGGTCAGCTCTCTGAGTGGAAGCAGGCATGTTTGCCATGGGACCCTGGGAACTGATGCTGCACACGGGTTGGGACCCACTCTGTCGCAGGCGAGCCCTCCCACCTCCAGATTTCAGGATTAGGAAAGACAGGTTCCCCAAGGAGATGCCCCTGGTGTGCAATGCTGGGCTGCCCATGGTCTTGGGGTTCCTTGGAGGATGGGGTGGGCACAGTGGAGGGGGGACCATGGGAGATGCCACAGTGTTGATCCACGAAGCCATGACTGAAGCTCACTGTTGGCCCCGTGACAAGGCTTCCCTGTGGTGAGGGGCCTGTGACCAGGCTGCGCGTGGAGCTCGGGCCCCACAGGAAGGACAGTGAGGGGAGGCGAGTGAGAACAGCACCTGACCCTGCCGTGCCCACCCTGAGCCCGTTCCGACCACAGGCGCAGCTGCTGCACCTTGGGGCTGCCACCCCCTGGGAACTGTGTCAGAGGGGAGGGTGCAGATAGTCCTGCTGTGGTCAGCGTGCTGATGGGCAGGACGCTGGGCTGTGCTGGCCTGTCCAGGGGGCGGACCCCCAGTGCCCTGACCACACCCTGTCCTCGTGGACATGACTGGAAGGGCCTCAGGTCATCCAGGATCAGGAGAGACGAGAAGCTGTGGCTTGGTGACAGCCAGTGTCCGCAGGGGCTGTCATGTGCCCGCTGGCTGGCGTCCAGCCCTGCTGGTGCCCACAGATACCTGGGGAGCAGGACCTGACCCAGAGCTAAGCTACCGGCCACAGTGTCCTCCGTGACCCCACCCTTGGTTCTGACATCTTCCCGTGTTTAAACTGCCCTGGGTGGAAGGAGTGAGCTCTCAGATCTGTACACAAAGCTGGTGGGCACTGTGGGGTGGAGGCTTCACTGCTTGGGGACCCTGTGAGCGGGGTGGGACCCCAGTGGTGACAGCTAGCAGATGGGGTCCTGGTGCCAATGAACGGCCAGCATTCCCACAGAGCGGCCTCGTCCAGGGTGGCCTGTAGGCCCGTCGATGACCTCTGCTCTTAGGGGTCCCCAGAGAGGCCATGTTCTGTTACCCTCCTCCCCCTGCCCTTCAGATGGGGCAGGGCCAAGCGGGGCCAGGCAGGCCCTGGGGCTGTGTCAGGTGGACTGAGCTGCCCTGTCCTCGCAGGTGTCTGAGTGCGGCTGGGCAGCCAGGCGGGCCCCCAGCCTCCACACGCTCTACAACATCTGCCGGAACATGCACGCGTGGCTCAAGCAGGACCCCAAGAACGTGTGCGTGGTGCACTGTGTGGTAAGTGGGGCCGGCCTGGAGACATGGCCTCCGTCGGGAACCAGATATCCCGGCGGCCAGTGTGCCTGGCGCACGGGGAGCTCACCTTCCCATTAGGGGGACAGGAAGGACGTCCACATGTCCTCCAGAGCCAGTGGGGACCACAGCGGCTATGCTGCAGCGGGGGGCGGGGGCTCCAGAGCCGGGGAGGGTGGCCAGGTGGGGTGCGCTGTCCTGGCTCCTGGTTTCTGCTCGTGAGGATGGGGCACCTGTGAGCATTCTGTTCGGGGCTTTGCTGCTGCTGCTGTCCCCGTAGTAGTGGCTGCGGTCACACGGGCAGCCGTGAGGACAGTGGGGAAGAAGGGGGCGAGAACCCCAGCTCTGAGCCCTTAGCTCCAGGACAGGCTCAGCCGGGTTCCCGGCCGTGTCCCCACACCGGGAGGGGCAGTCGGCCGAGGAGGTGGGGGCCGCCCGAGCCTGCCCGCACCCCCATCTGCCGAAGTCTGTGGGCAGGCGCCCTCGTTCCCAGCCGTGTCCCCACACCGGGAGGGACTGACAGCCGAGGAGGTGGGGGCTGCCCGAGCCTGCCTGCGCCCCCGTCTGCCGAGGTCCGTGGGGCGGGCAGAGGACGTGGGCAGGCGCCCGTGTGACCGCACCTGTCGCTGCCCCGCAGGACGGCAGAGCCTCGTCGGCCGTGGCCGTCTGCTCCTTCCTGTGCTTCTGTCGTCTCTTCAGCACCGCCGAGGCCGCCGTGTACATGTTCAGCATGAAGCGCTGCCCGCCGGGCATCTGGCCGTCCCACAAGAGGTGCGTGCCCGCGGCTTCCCCGTGGACCCCGGCCCCGGGGCGGACGAGGCCGTGGACGATGTCCCTGGGGTGATGACTGAGGGGGCTTTAGGACATGCGCTCGCTGTCCTGGGGGGTCCCCACTGTCCCTCAGGGCTCTGACGAGGCCTGTGGTGCAGGTGAGGGGGCCTGATGTCCTCAGGTTCCGTGTGCTCTTAACTTCACGGGGACCCCACACGGTCCTGACAAGGCCTGCTGTTGAGATAAGGAAGTCTGAGGTCCAGCAGTGTGAGGGGGTCGGAAGTGAAACCCCGGTAGATGAGTGCCCGTGCGTGGGGCGCCGATGTCCCAGGGAGTGTGAGCAGGGAGCTGGGGTCATCACACGGTCCCTGCTCACACACGGAATCCTGCTGTGTGGCGTGGGCGCGGTCGCGCATGGGCGTGGTCACGCATGGACATGCTCGGGAGTTCTGGGACAGCGTGAGGGCCGGAGTGTCCTCACCATGAGTCACGTGTGACTCCTGACAGCTGTGAAGATCCCAGCCGTGCCCTGTCCTGTCCTCCTCACCATCTGACACACGTGAGCCCGCTGCTGCAGTCACTGTGTCAGTCCGTGTCACCGAGGGGTTCCTCTCCTTCCCTGCCCCTCCGCTTTTCCCAGCATGATGCGTTCTCCAAGGAGCAGCCTCTCCAGGCCCCACGCCCGGAGTGTGTGAGTCGAAGCTTCGCCGTCCTCCCTGCCTCCGAGGAGCACTCTGGCTGCACTTGCTCTAAGACGGAGCTGTTTGTTCTTTTGTCCATCGTGAGATATTTACCTCCTCTCCCCCACACCTCAAAGGCGTCAGTTCTGTCATCCTCGTTCTCTGTCCAGCTTCAGACGTATAGGATGAAGGGAAAAGACCTTGGCTTGGATCAAGTGCGCCTTCATCTTTCTGCTGTCTCCCTTGCTCCCTCGCACTTTGGAGAGGTCCTCGCCAGGAGATTGTCCCAGTTCAGAATGTCTCTCTTTCTTGACTGCTATCTCAAGGGTGTTGATTGTGGCTCCAAGGAAGATGAAATCGTTGACAACTTCAGTCTTCTCCGTCGATCACGAGGTTGCCTGTTGGTCCAGTGAGGAGGGTTTTGTTTTCTTGATGCTGAGATATAATCTATTGTTGCCATAGTACCCCCATTAAATGTGGGAAAATAGAAGTATGCAGAAAACTATCAAACACTTGGGAAATTAAGAAAACCTAGCGGAGGAGAGGGAGACCCTGGATGAGACGGATTGACACAGTACCTTGGGCAGTGGGGTTGGGGTGTCAGAGTCGGTGAGCCTGGCTCAGGACAGGGCAGGCTTCAGAGCTGCGTCACCGTGGGTTGCAGGTGACTCAACAGCACATAACAACCACAGCAACATGCAACACCGGGTCCACAGGGTTCAAGACTGGTTTTTGTCAAGACACTAATGAACTTGATCTGATTCGACGTGAACTTGATCCGTCAGAACTTGAGCAGGCCTTTAGGTGCATGACAGGACAGACGTAGATGGTGCAGCTCCTGACAGTTTGGAAAAAGGACAGGGTGGGAGTAAAGCAGGGTTCCCATCTGTCCTGGGCACCGCCTCTCTCCATCCAGCTCCTAGTCAAGCTTATGGACTCCGACGTGGCAGGTGCAGTGACCCTTAGTGGCCACGCTGTGCTGTAAGTGCCTCCCGTCACTGAACTTGAGACTCGGTCATCACTTGGGTGGTGAGGTGTCCCTCCTGTGAATGTTACTCTTTCCAGCAAAGGTGAAGGGGGTTTGCACACGTCCCACATCGGTTCACCTGGCGTTCTTCACAAGGACGACTATCCTGACAGGGTCTGACCCTTCCTCTGAGGATCTCGAGGTCAGAGTGGTCTCCTGCTGTCCCTGAAGATACAGACGGCTGTGCTGCGACATCTCCATGGAGAGGCCGTGCAAGTGCTGCAGGTCCTCTGGGAGCCGAGGGCCTTGCTATTGAGGTCTTGGGGAACCGCAGGAAGCTGGAAGTGAACCCTGAGCTCCGCAAGAGAAGAGAGCAGCCAGCAGCCTGGCTGTCACCCAAGAGGCTGTGGCTAAAGGACCTCGCGTAGGGGGACCCGGGCGATAGAAAAGGGGTGTGTGAGTCCAGCTGCTGAGTTTACAGGTCACACAGCTGTGAGGTGCCATCGAGTCGACTGTGACTCCCGACGACCCTGTGAACGACAGGTCCGAACCCTGTCCTCTCCTGAGCCATCGTCATGACCTCTGGCCGGCAAGCCCACGGGGGCAGTCGCCGTGGCCGTCTGTCTTGTTGAGGGTCTTCCTCTCTCTCTGGCCCTCGACCTTCCAAGCACGATGTCCCTTTTCAAGGAGAGGCCCGTCCTGACAACGTGCCCAGAGTGCGGTGGAGGTTCACCGTCCTCGTCTCTGGGGGGCACCCTGGCTGCACTTCCTGCGGGCAGATCTGTTTGTCCTTCTGTCGTCCGTGACCCTTGTCGTCAGTGCTCTTTGTCATCCCCTCGTTCAGAGGCATCTATTCTGCTTCAGTCGGCCTGCTCCACGGACTCGGTGGAGATCCCACGGCGTGGACCAGGTGCACTCGGGCTCCTCCGCGCCTCGGGCGGGTCCTTGACAGCACATTCCCCAGTGCAGCGTTTCTTGACTTCTTGACTTCTGCTACCACCATGGGTCGTGACATTGTGGTTCCAAGTAGAATGAGATTATTGACAACTGCGATCTTTTCTCCGTCTCTCATGGCGCTTCTTGTTCATCGAGTGGTGAGGATTTTTGTCTTCTTGACACTGAAATGTAATTCATAGTGAAGGCTGTAGTCCTTGATCCTCTGCGGGAAGTGCTCTAAGTCCTCACTTTCTACGAGCAAGGTTCTGTCACCTGCATATCAAAGGCTGTTGATGAGTCTGGTCCAATCCTGAGGCCACATTCCTCCTCACAGAGTCCAGCTTCTTGAATGATCTGCTCAGCATACAGATTGAAGAGATTTGGAGAAAGGATACCACCCTGACACACGGTGTTTCTGACTTTAAACTGTGCACTGTTCCCTTGCTCTGCTCAGAGAGCTGCTTCTTGGTCTGTGTGTAGGTTTTGCATGAGCACAGTTAAGTGTTGTGAGAAGCTCATTCTTTTCAGTGTCTCAGAACTGAATATCTGACACACTGGTTCTAGATTCCTTGTTCTGGGGGCTTCACCAGCCCGCCAGGCACCAAGCTGCACACACGGACCTTTCTCTGTGCTGAGGTGTCTCGTGACCCCTCTCCACAGCACACGTGCCCTGAGCCTGGCAGGAACGGCCACTCTGAGCTCAAAGTATGGTCCTTCCTGCCTCGGAGAAGGTGGGGCTGAGCGAACACCCGGCGGCCTGGCAGCCGTGGTCCCTCCAGTGGAACGTTGACAGTACGCACGTACCGTGTGATGTTCCAGTGACAGAGTGGACAGTGTGTGTGTGTCCAAGATGCACACATCGCGTGATGTTCATATGACAGTGGACAGTGTGTCCATGTCAAGGACATGTGCGGTGTCCATATGACAGTGGACGGCGTGTGTTAACATTCATAGGACAGAATGGACAGTGTGCCCAGGTCCATGGAGTGCACATGTGACGTTCCTGTGATGGGGTGGACTCTGTGTGTGTGTCCATGCAGCATGCATGTGATGTTCATATGACAGAGTGGACAGCGTGTCCGGGACCACGGAGTGCTCGTGTGAGGTTCCCGTGACAGGGTGGACAGTATGTGTGTGCCCCAGAAGCACACGTGTGATGTTCACGTGACGGAGTGGACGGTGTGGGTGGGCCCCCAGGGCACACGTGACTCGGCGTCCTGTCTGCCCTCCAGGTACATCGAGTACATGTGTGACATGGTGGCCGAGGAACCCATCACGCCACACAGCAAGCCGCTGCTGGTCAAGGCCGTGGTCATGACGCCCGTGCCCCTGTTCAGCAAACAGAGGAACGGCTGCCGGCCCTTCTGCGAGGTCTACGTCGGCGACGAGCGTGTGGCCACCACGTCCCAGGAGTACGACAAGATGAAGTGAGTCTAGGCGCAGGCCGACAGCGCCTGGTGTTTCAGGAAAACTTTAAAGAGAAAAATGTAACTACTGTGAGACTTGTTCTTAGCTGGACACCTTGGGAAGGATGGCGTCCTTGTTCTCACATAGCTGTGGGTGCCTTTGAGCCCCATGGGCAGGCCTTTTTAGGTGTGGCTCTCACAGGCTGGCCCCACTGGCATGCTGATTAAGTGGCCATGACCATGGTCCTTGGGGCAGTGGCCCCTTGGAATAGCTCCCCAGCGCAGACACCGAGGAAATGGTCTGTTCTCTCAGCAGCGTCAGCACGGTGAGAATGCCTGGTCCCCTGCCGGTGCAGCTGCAGACGCGCCTGGCTGTGCTGGAGGCCCAGAGCCTTTTAGTCTGTCCTCACCACAGAGGCCCCTGGTTGATACCTGGTCATTGTGTCCTTCAGGGAATTTAAGACAGAGGACGGCAAGGCCATTATCCCCTTGGGCATCACGGTGCAGGGAGACGTGCTAATCGTCATTTATCACGCGAGATCAACGCTGGGCGGGCGCCTGCAGGCCAAGGTGCGTGCTCCCCCACCCTCCGGGCCCTGAGCCTCTACACTGTCCTGCCTTGTCCGATCCTACACTGTCCTGCCCTGTCCCATTCTGTCCTGTCCTGCTCTATTCTGTCCCATCTTCCCTGCCCTGCCCTGCTGTGTACTGTCCCACCCTGTCCTATCCCTTTCTGCCCTGCCCTGCTGTGTCCTGTTCCATCCCGCCCTGTCCTGTCCTGTCCCGTCCTGTCCTGCCCTGTCCCGTCCCGTCCTGCCCTGTCCCGTCTTATCCCATCCCGTCCTTCCCTGTCCCGTCCTGCCCCATCCCGTCCTGCCCTGTCCCGTCCCGTCCTGCCCTGTCCTGTCCCGTCCCATCCTGCCCCGTCCCGTCCTGCCCTGTCCCATCTTGTCCCATCCCATTCTGCCCTGTCCCGTCCTGTCCCGTCCCGTCCTGCCCCGTCCCATCCCATCCTGCCCTGTCCCGTCCTGCCCTGTCCTGTCCCGTACCGTCCTGCCCCGTCCCGTCCTGCCCTGTCCTGTCCCGTCCTCCCCTGTCCCATCCTGCCCTGTCCCATCCCGTCCTGCCCTGTCCCGTCCCGTCCTGCCCCGTCCCGTCCTGCCCCGTCCCGTCCTGCCCTGTCCCGTCTTGTCCCATCCCGTCCTTCCCTGTCCCGTCCT